TTAAGAGGTATAATTTAGCAAAGAAGGGGAATTTAGAGATACTAAAGTTGTTACCACCTGAAATGAATGTATGAAACCCTCACAATGGAGCCCTATCAACCCTAAGATTAAGCTTTGTAGAGCACTCAATTAATTAAATGTAATAGCCTATAGGCCAGCACAGACCGAATCTTTTGTGCACTTCAAAGGATCACTCTTCATAGACCATTTCTCCTTTATTTTCTGTACTTTACAAAGCTCTGTGCATATCTTCTCTGAATGCTTTCATCCTCCTGCCTGCCACATGCAATCGCTGTGAAGAAGATCACTGTTTCTCAGAGTACATCTATACTTATGTGGCAATTGACTCTAATGTAGACCCACGAATCAAATGCTGAAGGCAGCCCCCATCAGCGTCTGGTACTCCGGTGAAGAGTAAGGCAAGCTAATGGGAGTGTGTGCTCCTGTCGGCCTCCTGCTGTGTGGACATTGCAGTGGCTTAGCTTAAGGTAAACTGAATCCAGCTATGCATTTTGCATAACTGGATGGTGTACCTTTTGCCGACCTTCCTGGTCTAGTGTAGACCAGACTTGAGTGTATAATATCAAAGCTGCCATCTTTGACTACACCATGTCATCTTCGTTTCCTCATCTTCCAAATTTATACACATTAACAATATATATACAGTAGACTTGGACTGGCTACACTGTTTTTCACTGAGCAGCAGCCTCTGCTAGAAATGGCAATATAGTTGTGGCTCATTTCCTTCTAGGAAATTTTTAGAGAAGATAGCAAACTATGCAGTTGAAAACTTGAACATCTGAAGGACATAAAGTTTTATTATGGTTCTTGCCTTATTACATATTGGAAAAATTAAATTTAAATTATCTTTTAAATTAATTAAAAAGTTTTATGATGATCATATATGTGTGTTCGCTTCTTTTTTCCTTATTATTTCTTTTGTCACAGAGATGCAAATACATGCTTCAATGTTTTTCAGCCCACATTACTGTACGTGTGCTGGATTAATTTTCTACATTTTACTGAAGAAGAGTGAGTAAGGCCACGTGTATCTAGATCTCTCTGTCAGACACGAAATGAAGGGAAATCTTTCAGTGAGAATCTTAAGAAACCTTTCCAAAGCTCTTTCTATTCATTATTGGAAGGCAGTATTACGTGTTCAGTGTAGGAGCACACTGCTGGAGAATATGAAAAAACCAGGTAGAATGACAGGAATTTCCTACCTAGACGAATTATAAATCTCCTATGTTCACATATTTTTCCTGTGCTGCTGATACCTTGGAAAATGTATTGAACCTAGATTTTACAAATACTGCATTTGGCTCTAGAAAGCATTAGTGACCTGGCACTTTGCATCACCTGAAGGATGCTAAAGAACAGGGAATAAAGGAGAAGATGGAAAGATAGGAAGTTGCTTGTTAAAAGAGGATGATTCTCGGATTTCTCTGGGAAAGTATCCTCAGACAAACTGGAATGCTTCTGCCTGAAAGTGCAGGTGGCAAGCAGCTGCAAAGAAACTGGTAAAAGATTTACACTGTAAACCCTGCATGGGAGGGATTGAAACTGTATCCTCTTTCCTAATTAAAAAGGTGATTTAAAAGTAAAGCATTCTGTAAATTGCTGAGGTACAGGTGAGGGGATAAAGCCTTTCTTTTAAAAAGTCCTATTTTTAAGACTTCCCTTTTTAATATCACAGTGGGATAATTTATATAACACAAACTGTGAATACAGCTTTCTGGATTTTCCATCCCAGTGACTCTAGCATAGACTTGATCATAGGTCTTTAGGGTGACGTTTTGTTTTCTTATAAAATAAGACAGTGCCCAAAATTAGATAAGTATTTGTGAGTCAGCCCAGCCACATAGTTAACACAATCAATAGTATGGACTGCCATACTTATGCTTGACATGTACCTCAGGGATATCCACAAAGATGTGTAGCCAGGCAAATGCATTTAAAAGTGTTTTCTCCCATTGGCTGTGATAAATAAGGGTATTCTGCATATAGTGGTTTAGGAAATTTCTGGTTTACATATGTTGACTCCAGCTCATCACTGATTTATTCCAGTGTTAGTGGTCATGACAAGTGATTGAAACTCCACTTATTGGCAACTTAGAGATGAAAAGGACTATTAGGACTCCAGAAAGGGAGATATTGGCTGAAATAAATCATTACAAACAAACTGGATGCACCAGTTCCACTCAGAGGGAGTTGCAATGAACTATCATGGGTTCCATCTGTTTTATGCCAGGTCTTTGACCATTAGTCTTCATTCTCTTTCTTTGTATGGAAAGGCCCTAGAGGTCTAATGATTTTCATTACCTTTCTCTGGAAGTTTTCTATTATGCCAGTCTAAAGGATTGTCAAGATATTGACAGGCCTTTTAAGTAACAGTTTCTTCTCTTGTAGATTCCTATTGTTATTAATAATAACATTTTAGCAACATGCTTGTCCATAGTGTTATACAGAGAGGTTAAATACATGATCTCTGCCCAATGGGACTAAAACCTAGCATAAACACATGACATCACACAGGAATGCACATAAAACAAAGGAAATGGGAGGAAAACTCTGAACAAAATAAGATTTTGGAATGATACTATTCCTAAGGTATTCATTGTATAAGGACATCTCCCCCACCTTTTTAAATTAATATAGATTGTATTAGGTTGCTGTAAGAAATATGAGCCATTATTGAAGTGACTATCTTAAGAAATGTATTTTGTGAAATGATTTAGAGGAGAAGAAAATTACATGGCATACAGGCTCAGGTGTTTGCTCTAGGCATGTGGACAGCATGAGAGGACAACAGTTCAAAGCAGAACTGTTGTAGTACAGAGCCTGGGAGTAGTGGAAAACCAATAGCAGCACAGGGACAGGATGGGTAGTGGAAGTGTTCAGCAAGATGCGTTTGGCTGTCTTCTTTTCATTATGTTGGAAATATACAATTCAGAGAAAAAAGGTGGGTAAGATAATATCTTTTATCGGACTAAATAAAGACAAGCTTTTGAGATACTCAATGCTGTGTCCAGACCTAAGGAAGAGCTCTGTGTGAACTGGAAAGTTTGTCTTTCTCACTAACAGAAGCTGCTCCAGTAAAAGATATTATCTCACTCAAGTTTCTCTGAAAAGATGCAAGGCATGGGTCAGGTACGATGCAAAGCAGGTAATGGCAAGGCTGTTCCACCTCTGGGAAAGAGAATTAAGTGGGTAGCAGAGCTCTGGTTTTGTAGGATCTCATGTTGCTATCTCTTCTAATTTACATGTTTTATTCATTAATCTGTTCATCATCTGTATAGATGCATTTTAAATATATAAAATAAAATATAAATACATATTTTATTCCATGAAAGGAGAAGAGTCACCCTGCGATAAGGTAGAGGTGGGACTGGAACAAAGAGGTCCAAGAACTAAACCTTTAAGGTCACCCATGAAGAGGGTTGTGGACACAGAGAAGAGGTGGCGGTGTAGAGTAGTCTCTCAGAAATCGGAGATGGACAAGTTGGGTGCACAGAGCTAGGGAGGAAGACTGTTCATGTACTAAAGAGTGTCAGTTGTGTATCTGAAAAAAATCATGTGAAAGAAGGGAGAAGATTCTAAGGCCAGAAGGGACCATTGTGATCATCTAGTCTTACCTGTATCACACAGGATGTAGAACTTCCCCCAAATTATTCATAGAATATTCTTCTGGAAAAAAATCTAGTTTTGATTTTAAATTTCCCATAATGGAGACTCCATCATGACACTTAGTCATTTCCCATAATGGAGACTCCATCATGACACTTAGTCAATTTTTCAAAAGGTTAGTTTCCTCGCCATTAAAAATGTACATTTTATTTCAAATCTGAATTTGTCTAACTTCAGCTTCCAGCAATTGGATCCGATTGTGCCTTTCTCTACTAGTTTGAAGAGCCCTGTGATGGGATAGTTTACATGACTGGGTATATAAAAGGGTTTAGGAGCAACTGTGGACCCAGGAGACCCTGCCCAGCCACAACCAAAGAGAATGCTGTACTTGAGATGGAATTTCAGATGGAGCCTAACAACTCAGAAGGGGACTGACAAGGCAGAGAGAGGGCATGGGTTTATAGGAGTTGATAAGGAAAAAGAAATAAAACTGTTGAGACAGAAAAGGCAATTTTGTAGTGGAAAAAGTCAGTTTCCTTCCTGGACATTATTCTGACTTCTGTGACTTGGGGTGGAGATTGAGAAGAAGCAGATGCAAGAAGAAAGTTGGAGTTGAAGACAGGTGGAAAAGATTGAGTGTTGGAGAAGAAGACTACAGACAATAAGATTTTTACACGTGCTAATGTGTCTTAGGCACCCAAGTCACTTGGGTGCATCGGAAAGTATTTCTGAAAGGACTAAAGTTTCTTCCCATTTATGTCAGTTGATATCAGGATGCTCCTCAAAGTCTTTAGTGCCTCATTTCCTGTCTTTTCTTGTTCCATGGAAGAAAAGTGTTCCTAAAGTAGTTTCAAAATGAACTAGTGTACCACATTTAAGCATTTTACCTCTCTGTATCACAATTAGAGCGCATGCTAATAGGAGTATGTGATCTCTAGGAAAATCAGACTTTCTAGGGACTATGCACTTTTTTTCTAAATATTTCTTTATCAAGTTTCACCCTAAAATTCACTCTGCTTCCCTTGTGAAAAACAAATCTGTTGTGTAGTGTTGCTCATGTAAACTGAATTACATTATACCGCCTCCCGAGGCAACCTTATTTATAGTCTAAGTATGTTTCTCATATGGATTTTCTGCACAGTTTTCTGTGGTACTACTGTTGAATAAAAGGTGCTGTACAAATGTATGGTATCTATCAGCTGTACCTCTTTATTTTACTGTGTCTTCTTTAATAAAACATTTTCCAATTTAATATATTTAGCAGAATCAGCATATTGCTTTATTACTTTGAATATCTTTCTTATTTCCTTAGAGTATTTTAATTTTAATACTGAAAGCTCTGGAAGTTAACTTATATATCTGCTTTTATTCAGGTAACCAGTTCTGGGTCTTCAAGGACACCACTCTCCAGCCAGGGTACCCGCATGATTTGATAACACTTGGAAATGGAATTCCTCCCCATGGCATTGATTCAGCAATATGGTGGGAGGACGTTGGGAAAACCTACTTCTTCAAAGGAGATAGGTTGGTAGATAAATCCTAAAAGAAAGTTATTTGATTAATGTCAATCAAGACATATTCATTATTTCCCCCAAAGAAACACTTGGATCCATTTAGAGTATTAAATATTAAGTGTAGGTGAAAATTCACCTTGGTACAGAGGGCCATCACAAGACGTGCATTACTTAAAGCCTATTTTGGGGATTTAAGTTGTACCTTTACTTGTGCTACACATCTTCACAGGATGAGTTTCACCCTGTGTGTTTCCTTTTCAATTTCTATAAATAATTTCACTAAATGCTGAGAAGTGTGGTTGGTTAGGGGGTATTTGACCTCACTGGGTTTTTTTTTTCAATTTTGGGGCTTCTTTTCAGATGATTTATATTTTTCTCTGAAATTTTCAGGAGAAATTCTGTTTCTCTATGAGCAAGCCTTTTAAAGAATCATCAAGAAATTCAGAATTTAAACTAATTTAAGCTTAAATATTCAAAGTAATGTAATCATCATGTTTCATATTTGCTTACTCATAGTTCTCTCATCTTAGAATCATACAATACGAGAATTGGAAAGGAAATCGAGAGGTCATCAAGTCCAGTCCCCTGCCCTCAATAACAATGTTCATTGTCTTCATGCCTCCCTTCACTTCTTTTATAATCCTTGCCATTTAAGCAGGTGGGGTCTGATCCAAAGTCTGTTCAAGTTCATGAAAATGGGTTCTGGGCTACTATTTAGAAATGAGGCTGGAAATGGAAAAAAGCCTGTGCAGTTTAGGATTGTGCCTTAATGGAATGACTGTTAATCAAAGTTCACAATCCCTTTACAGGAGTCAACATATTCTTGTAGTCAATAAAGCAAAAACCTGGGAGCCAGGAGATATGAGCTTTATTCTAGAGATGAAACAGATTTGTGGTGTAACCTTGGGCAAGTCACTTTATAGCTCTGCTCCTGGGTTTTTCCATCTATAAAATTAAGCTAAGAATATTTATTTACCTTACAGACCCATCAAGAAGAGCAGTTGGTCTGTGAAGCATTTTAAGGGTACATCTACACAGTAACATTATTTCAAAATTAACTAGAGTTATTTTGAAATAACGTAGTCCATGTCTACACAGCTAGCAGTTATTTAAGCATAATGTCAAAATACTGACTCCAACTCATGTAACCTTCATTTTATGAGGAGTAAGGGAAGTTGGAGGAAGAGTGCTCTTTTTCGAAATAAGTGTTATGTAGACCGCACCAAAACTTGAAATAAGCTATTTTGAAATAAGCTATGCAGTTGTGAGAGCTCATTTTGCATAGATTTTTTTGAATTAAGCTCTGCTGTATATATGTGCCCTAAGAGATATGAATGAAAGACTTTGTAGACGTGCAACTCATAATTATTATTCCTATTATATTTGTGAATGTTACTTTCTTTGAAGCACCTAGCAAATTCAGTGTCAGAAACAAATAATTATTACTACAACTGCTGCTACTACTGTTATTATGTGTTATTTGTATTTCAGCATTTTAGGACGTTAAAAGTATTTTTGGTTATCTTTAGATATATGTTTTAATATGCTATATGTCAATCATACTATATCTAACCATACTGGTTTTTGGTAGTTTTTTTGTTTTGTTTTCTTTTGTTTTCTTTTGTTTTGTTTTGTTTGGGGGGGGGGGTTGTTTTTTTAATGGGACTAGGTTAAGAGTACGTTAAAGAAAACCAAACAATTTTTTAAATAGATAGGTTCAGATTTCTATAGCATTCATGAGAAAGAAGTAGGCAACGGAATGATTTCCACTTTTTGAAACTTATGTTTTCTTCCACATACATTCCAAACAATCAGCCTAAACTGTAAACAAAACCAGAGAAAACTTAAAAAACAATGAATGGCCCTGCAGCACCATAGATCCTTACAAAAAATGTATATGGCATCATGAGATTTCGTGGGCACAATCCACTTCTTCAGATGAATAGAGTAAGGGGGTCCAGAGTACAAATAAATAGCAGAGAGAGAGAAGAGATGAGGAGGAAAAAAAAAAAATTGGAAAAAATATTGTCAATTAGAGTGCTTCTGCTAAATGAGGCTAATATAGTGGTGTAAGTACCCCGTACTTAGCTTTTCATGCTATTAGGGTGTGGAATGTAGCAGTCCATTCAGTTCAGGTCTTTATTCAAACCTTGATTGCAGGTTTCAAATTTGCAAATGAAGGCAAGTTCCCCAGCTTCTCTCTCCAGCTGGTTTTTGAAATTGCTTTGTTAATACCAGAGAAGACTTTTTATTTGTTTATTATCAGTTAATAGTTTTCTACATTCATGTTCCTGGGAAAATATGTCTGTTAGTTTTGTGTGACCTCTGCTTTCTTTAGGCTTTTTTCAACAGAGGCATCATACATATAGTAGCCCAATATCTGAGACTCTGTAACGCTGTAGCGTTACAGTCTTACCTCTGGGGGGCGCTGTTGCTTCCTGTCGTGGCGCTCGGCTGACTTCTGCGCCACTCAGCCGGGCCGCCGCGGGGGAGCAAGTGGAGCAAGCGGCCTTTAGGAGTTTGCGCTACTTGCCCCCGCACGGGGAGCACGGAGCCCAAACAGCCATCCCCTAAGTGAGAAGCAGGAGGGTGAGGAGAAGAGAAAAAGAGAGTGAGAGGCAGGAGGGGGAGAAGAGAAAAAGAGACGGAGAGAGAGGCAGGAGGTGGAGGAGAGCTGAGAGAGAGATGGAGGAGGCAGGAGGAGGAGAGAGAGAGAGAGATACGGACATGAAGGAGAGACCTGAAAAATCCCATTTTATGATGGGCTATTGGCTAGTTATATAATAGATTTCCATGCATAGATAGTTCAAGTCAAGACATTCCTAAAAATCCTGTTAGCAATAATATAAAACAGCGAACTATCAAAGGAAACTTCTATTGATGCAGAAGTTTCTACTTAGAGCCATAACAAGCATAATGAGGCTCAGCAGGATAGAAAATGCAATATAGTATGTAAGGAGAAAATCGAAGAACATGAGCCTTGCAGAGATAATTGAGCTATTATAGGATATTGACCACCAGTGGGAATAAACCCATATCCCACTAAGTTTCTCTGTATGTATTGTTTATATCACAATTTTGTCTTAATATAATGTTAGAGCTGAATTCTCCTGCTGGTTTTAATTGTATGTATAAGCCTGTTATAGTTCCCCCCACGCACCCCAAACTAGGTACAACACAGTGTTGTTTCTTTTGTAGCATTAGGTAGGAATGAAAAACAGGCAAGATGTGCCAATGTCAATGTAGGAAGCTATGTTTCTCCAAGTACAGCTATGTAAAGGAGCTTTGGGTTTATTTTGTCCTGACAAGATATAGTTTACATGCTCCATGAGAGAATCTAGACATAGTTCCAAAACAGTCAAATAAGTACAAGGTATGCAGGATAGGTCACTTTCAAAGTCTTAAACATCAGCTATAAAATGTATGTCAACATGAAGATTATTGTTCATAGACTCTATGCACTAAAAGAAAACATCTATAGAGTATGACATGACCAAATTAACGTATTTGCAGGAAGAGAGGGAGAGGGAGACAAGATAGATAGTGCTCTTGAATAATTGAATAAGAGCGCAAGAAGGGAAAGCTTACAGCTCAGTGATATATTTCTTTCTGTTAGACTGCAACTGTGTCTGTTCAGCTGATGACAGGATTGCACTGATTGACCCATGATGTTGTTTACAGTAACTTGGGGCAAGGCTGGTTTTGTTATTCTGCATTGTAAAGTGTAACTTTTTTTCTGTAAAAATCTAAATACAGTATTACTCTAATTGGTGATTGCCTAAATAAACACCATTAGTTAACACACGTTAGCAAATACACACTTTTATTTTATATTGTGTGTGTTTTCCCTTTTCTGATTTAATGAAGTGCACCCCCATAATTGCTAATTCATCATTCACTGAGGATTCCCAACATGTGTAGAGTAATCTGTATTGGGTATTGGTGGAAGAAACCTTCCTATTGTTTACACAGTGTAGGTTTTCTTTCAGATGCTCTGATTTTCTAAAGGAAAAAATGTATTTTTAATCCCTTTGGGTGAAGAAAACCCCCAAATATTTAAATTTTAGAGAGCCACTGAATAATGAGAAAGATCTGAACTGAGCTATTCCTCGCACTCTAGACAGATTACCTGCTCCAACACAGATTTTAAGAGATACTGCTACAATCAGTCCATGCATGATGGGATTTCTCAGAAATGCAGAAAAGTCAGCAATCACAGGGATGCCAGGCCTACACCAGCTAGGTTCTCCAGAGGAATTATTTTTAACCACACCAGATCTTTTTGGAAGCTCATGAGAACCACCTCTCTTAGAGTATGTCTACACTACAGAGTTTTGTCAGAAAAACGACCATTTTTCTGACAAAACTTGAGGAATGTCCATACCGCAATTGCATTCTTCCACAAGAAAATTGAAGGAACAGAGGGGTTTTTCCAGCATTGATAATCCTCATTCTACAAAGAAGAAGCCTTTTCGTGAAAGAGCTCTTTTGCAAAAAGGTGTGTGTGGATGGGGAAGAGGGAGTTCTTTCGGAAGAAGAGGAAAGAGGAAAAAGCATAGATGCCCTAGTGGCCATTCCATTCATAGCAATAACAGCTTACATGCGAGAGAGCTTCCATTCAGTCTAGATGCTCTCTTTTGAAAAAGCAGTTCGCTTTTTCGATTCACTTTTGCAGTGTGGACACTTTCTTTCAGAAGTTTTTTCAGCAGATCTCTTCCAAAAAAAGCTTCTTCCAAAAGAAGTCTGCAGTCTAGACGTAGCCTCAGACATCCTGGCAGAAAAATGGATAAGGAATCCAAAGAGGAGGAATACTAAAGAAGGAACTCAGGGAATTATGTACAGTTGAGAGGAGGATAAAAGTGGGCTAGGATAACATAGAATTCAGAGAAGAACAAGGAAAGAGAAACGAGGGAAAAAGAGACAAGAAAAAATGAACATAGAATAAAGTGAAACAGTTAGGCTACGTCTACATTGGCCCCTTTTCCGGAAGGGGCATGTTAATTTCACAAGTCGTAATAGGGAAATCCGCGGGGGATTTAAATATCCCCCGCGGCATTTAAATAAAAATGTCCGCCGCTTTTTTCCGGCTTTTAGAAAAGCCGGAAAAGAGCGTCTACACTGGCCCCGATCCTCCGGAAAAAGCGCCCTTTTCCGGAGGATTTTTATTTAAATGCCGCGGGGGATATTTAAATCCCCGCGGATTTCCCTATTACGACTTGTGAAATTAACATGCTCCTTCCGGAAAAGGGGCCAATGTAGACGAGCCCCTAGACATCAGTGAAGGGAAGAGGGAGAGAATACAAAAGAGGAAATTGCAATGTTAATCTCAGAGACAGCAAAACAAGGAAGAGAAAAAACTGATTGTTAAAAAAAAGGTGAAAAGAAAATGGAAAACTATGTGATGCGCCATTAAAAAGGTGAAGGAAGAAAATCTTGATGCACTTAATATTTTAGATGTGTGTTGATTATTTCCCCTATTTATTATAGTTCTCTGAAGGACATCCAAAAGCTCTGTTGATATGAAGGAACAGAAAAATGTGACTTGTTGGCATCTGAGTATTGGTGAATATGCAACTAGATTAAGGGATCAGGCTTTTAAATGCATTTTGTGTCACAGTCAGAAAACTTATTTTTATGAATGCCAGTTATTTTCTTTTATCAGTTTTAAATTTGTCACCTTTTAATTTCACTTACTGTCAAGAACTAGAATAAAAGCCTTACGCTGACAGTTTGAAAGAGCTTTGTCTGTTTAGCTTATCAAAAAGAAGATTAAAAGGTGACTTGATTACAGTTTATAAAGACCTTCACAGGGAGAAAATGTCAGGTACTAAAGGGCTCTTTAATTTAGGAGAGAGAGGCTTTACAAGGACCAATGGCTGGAAGCTGAAGCCAAACAAATTCAAATTAGGCATATTTTTAATCATGGGAACAAACTACCAAGAAAGTTGAGGCTTCTCTAATTCTTGATGTCTTTGAATCAAGACTGGATGCCTTTCTGGAAAAAAATGTAAATTATTCAAAATCCATGGAATTTAATAGAGAATCCTTTTTAATTTTTTTATATAATTATTTTATGAATTCTATTGCTGGGACCTTTAAACAAATTGAACACTAAATTAAATAAGATGCTATTATTATTATGAGATGATGCAGTATTACCATGAAACAACATATTTTTACACCGAAAGATTCACACATATAATTTTGTATTGCTGCCTGCGCACATACCCTGATTATTAACAGTGCTACATCAGTGTAAATAAAATCAATTATTTATTCCTATTTCTCATAAGTTCATGTTGCCTTGAACTTGTGTTCTGCTGATTTCTACACTGAATTCCCCCCTTCTTGCAAAGAGACACACAAAATACATATCATTTTCTATTACTTTATACATATTGTATGATCATATAATGAAAGAGAATGGTAATGAATACACTCAAGGAGTACAGTTAGCTTGCTGTGGGAGTTTTAACTCTGAATTCACTGACTTTTGAGCGATTAAGATCTCAATTGAAATATAATGTAGTTTTTTTGCATACATTATATCTCCTTGTGTTGCTGTGCAGAGGCCCTAGGCAACAGACTTGCTCTGATTATAAATAAGGTTCATGTTTATTTAGTTGTCAAACTAGAGAAGTCTCTTATCTTTAGTATGCTTACTTGAAACAGCTGTCCAATCCGCAAGTAGGATTAAATTTCTTTGTTACCTGCAAGGTTTGCTAAACAGGAGAGCTCTGTTGCCGCAGGTTCACTTGTTAAACAGGTTGCCCCGGTTTCAGTTATTAAATTCAGGACTTTGTTAGAAAGCAAGCAGCATGCAATTGAGCACATCAACTAAATTATAAGTGCATATCTGGTTACCTATTTTTCTATTTTATTTAGGTACTGGAGATACAGTGAAGAAATGAGATCTATGGACCCTGGCTATCCAAAACCAATCACAATCTGGAAAGGTATCCCAGAATCTCCTCAGGGAGCCTTTGTCCACAAAGAAAATGGTATGCAAGCACTTTCCTAACTTAGTCATTTCCTAACATCCTGTTATCATGAGGTAGAGATGTCTAGAAATGATTGGCTAATCAGGTTGGTAGGCTGACTGAACTCTCATTATTTTGCAAACGGTATGTTTCTGGCTGTGGAATTCACTTTCTTCTTAAATTGTTGCATATAATTGTTGATTAGTCTATTTATAATCACAATGAAAGACAGCAAAGATTGTTAATTTTTGCATAATAATCTATCGTTTGGGTTATTTGTTTTGGTTTTGCAGGATTTTAGTGGTTCATAATATAGGTTTCCTACCCTAAATCGTAAATATTTCTGTTTGAGTCTCCATGTTGCTTATGGTTCACCTGGGATAAAAGCTTTCAGATTCATTTTGCTGGATTGTAGTCCAAAAGCAGGCTCTTTCAGTATAGGAATAGAAGTATCCTGAGAAATCTGTAAATCAAAGACGCCGTAAATGTATAATGCAGAGATGCAGCTCTCAAACACCAAGGAATTCAGCATACCATGCTGTTACCTGCATCAAGATGGGATATTTCATGTGGCAACCCATAATTTCTAACTGGCTATACCTCCATATGAATGAGAGCCACTGAAATCTGCTCTATTTTCTGCAAATTAAGTGCTGCCCTCAGGCTAGCAGCAATTTGTTAGCTGCATAAAGTTAGATATTCTTGATATAAACAAAGGTATGTGCTTGCAGTCACTTTTCATTGCTGCAAAGTATTCAAGTATTACTACATGTATGATTAATTTATTAGTGATGGAAGGCTGTGGTTTTTTGTTTGTTTCTTTGTTTTCAGACAGTGAACATCTTGCGATCTTATTTTCATTTCCCTTTAGCAGATAATATAAAGCTTGCTTTTCTGGTGTTGTCCATTTCAGAGTCTTCAGTTCTTCCTCTAACTTAGATGAACTAATTTGCTGTGAAAATAGGCTAAATCACTTCCGTGCTTTGTCTCTGTTTCATCCATCAACAGAAACTCTCTACTGATTCTGGCATTTGGTTAGGGTTTTTTCTTTTTTTCTAAACAGGAAAGTAGGTCAGGCAGGCTGACATTCTGAATATATCACACTGCATACCTAGCTCTCTGTGAACTAATACACACGCACACACATATGCGCACACAGTGCATATACATAATGTATTTAGTCTTTGCTCTCTTTAATTAATTATCATTAAGACATGCTTCTTTACTTTTGCTTACTTCATAGAATTATAATTATATTTTTTTCTGGCTAGAGTGGACTCATCATCACATGTAAAGTGTCAATGTTATGTGCACCATGAATTATACATATATCTCCTATCAGCAGTGAAAGTTATCTTCCCCTCATACCCAGGTAGAAGTAGTCTGAAAGTGCTGCAGAGACAGAGTACTGGAGCAGTGGGAGCTCTTTGACACATCCTGTGTTAAACTCACTGCCCCACTCCAGAATAGCACTGATGGACTTTTCACTAGCATGCAACTGCCATAGGAACAGGAAAACATTACATCAGTTCATCAGGGAGGGTTAGGGAAAAAGAGGAAAAATAAGAGATGCTGAGGGCTTTTGGAGAGCCTCTAAGGAGCCACAAATGAAAGTCTATGAAGATAAGGTAACAGATATTTCTTGTTAAAGAAACAATAAGGCTGCGTCTAGACTAAACTTCCCCTGCATCTAGACTGCCACCGTGTTCTTTTGAAATTAAATTGAAAGAACATGGCAGGGTTTTTTTCGACCGTGGTAAACCTCATTTTACGAGGAAGAACACCTTTTTTCAAAAGTACTCTTTCAAAGGCGTTCTTGAATGCAAACACGGCTTTTTTGAAAGAGAGCATCCAGACTGCCTGGTTGCTTTCACTTTTTCGAAAGAAGTGGTTGCAGTCTAGATGCTTTCTTTCGAAAGAGACTTTTTCGAAGGATTCTTTTGAAAAATCCTCTTTCAAAAGAGGCTTGTAGTCTAGATGTACCCTGAAACAAGAGAAAATACAAAAGTGAAAAACCACAGTTTAATTTAAAAGAATTCTGATTACATTTTGCCCCAAACCATTTTTCTTCTACTGTTTAAATAAAGATTTTACATGAAATTTTACCACATTGCTTTAGAGAGAAAAATTAGGAAGAGTTTCTGCCAGTTAACCTCTATCATCTGAAGGAATGTATCTTTTTAAACCTCATCCTTTTAGTGTCCTATTAAAAATTGAAAGAGGTTTACCAGAGATGGCAGGTGAGTGGAGCTAAATCCACTCTTCCAAAAAAACATGAAAAACAACAGCCATAAACTGAGTAGGATTGCACGAAGGAGGGATGTGTAAAAAAATCCCAGATCCTCTACTGCTTCAGCTCAGTACTTCAAATGCTTTCTGCCTCATTTGATGATTGAGAAGCTCACTAACCCGTGAGTGATGCCTGTGAAACTTTCCCTGCACCTTCTGCTGTGTGGTCTTTTCTTCTAGCAGGAACCGTTATTGAGCAGAAGCAGTCATGGCAAGCAGCAAACCTTCCTTCTCTTTTCCCACCTGGCCTGCATTCACAGGAACTGCTCTCCTCCACAAAATACATACAGTTCCAGCTGCTTCAACTGCCTGAGCATCCCAGCACTCTGTTCCCCATTCCCTCCTCCTCCCCCAGAGATCCCTTATGCACGTATGGGAAGCCAGGAGAGAAGGAAGATACAGAGGGATGGCAAGAATTGGGGGTTAGATAACAGGACCATGAGGCTTGCAGTCAGTTGATTTTCTGAGTGGCGCATCTTTTCTATTTAAAATCTGTGGTCTTCTTCAGTAATAACTTTGCCAAATACCTACTGCTTTATCTCTCTTTGCAGACTAGTAGGTGGCATAAACTTGTCATCAGATTTTTCTGGAAAGGGAAATTAAACCTCATGCATCAGGTTTAGACAATCTCTCTTGGAGATAAGGGAGAGACTGAAAGTCAGAAAGGGGGAAGATGCCTACTGCATGATTCTTACTCCTTCTGAACTGTTGGTTGCACCCAGAATGCAATCCAGCAGGACAGTTCCTGAATCCCTGGCTGCATCTAGACTGGCATGATTTTGCATAAATGCTTTTAACGGAAACGTTTTTCCGTTAAAAGTATTTCCGCAAAAGCACGTCTAGATTGGACACGGATGCTTTTGCGCAAAAAGTGCTTTTGCACAAAAGCATATGTAGCCATTCCAGATGCGATTTTGTGCAAGAAAGCCCCAATCACCATTTTAGCCATAGGGGCTTTTTTGTGCAAAACAGTTCTTCCCTGTCTACACTGGCCTTCTTGCGCAAGTATTCTTGCACAAGAGGGCTTTTTCCCAAGCGGAAGCGTGAAAGTATTTGCGCAAGAAGCACTGATTTTGTATATTACAAAGTCAGTGTTCTTGCGCAAATTCAAGCGGCCAGTGTAGACAGCTGGCAAGTTTTTGTGCAAAAGCAGCTGCTTTTGTTCAAAAACTTGCCAGTCTAGACGCACCCCTTGTGGTTTTATTCCCTCTCATAGCTTTTGTGTAAATCAGTATCCTTCATCTTTGCCAAAAGTGTAATCTTATTAAGAGTCAATATGGACAGTGATTTAAAAAAAATACATTATTTTATGGAAGACATAAATATAATTCCCAGCTACAAACCATGGTGAGGCTACTGTAATTTTCCATTTGTTAATGAACAAGCCTGTTTGCTTCAAAGCTTAAACTACAGGTTCCTTTCATATATTTTTAATTTATTGTTAATCTCACCTTTGTAAATTTGATAGCACAGTAATAATAATAGGGATGTTTTATGCTCGATTCCAGTGGAATAGAAGGCATTCTGTGACCACATATCTGAAGAGTCACTTTTTATTCAATGAGTCATATACCTTTCTAGCTAGAGCTATACATATAGAGATATAGATACAGAGTCTGAGACAATAAAAGGGATGAATAAATAAATTGCAAAAATATCTTTTTTTATTAGCAATATGGAGACCCAAATAGAAATTTTAAGGATTTAGGGTAGGAAAACCTATATTATGAAGCACTAAAATCCTGCAAAACTACAACAAATAGGGCAGACCCAAATGATAAATACTTATATAAACATTAACATAACATAACTATCCCAGGGTATGTCTACACTACCCTCCTAGTTCGAACTAGGAGGGTAATGTAGGCATACCGCACTTGCAAATGAAGTCCGGGATTTGAATTTCCCGGGCTTCATTTGCATAAGCGGGGAGCCGCCATTTTTAAATCCCGGCT